TTAGTAATAGCATAAGAAAGTATAAAAGGAAACTGTTTTCTATGTATAAAAAAATTCTAAGATAGCATAAATCTAGATGTAACCCTTTCTAGGTCACAATGTACATCAATATGATCAAAGTTGATTAATATACGAGTAGCATAAATACCCATGACTGTACCAATGGCCCCATTAACTAATCCTACAGTCACATCAATATTACATCTTAGCATTACTCTACAGGCTACTGCTAAAGACAATACAGTTTCTAAACCAGCTGTTTTGCTTGGTTGATCTTTTAGTTTCTTTAATTTTTTCTTTTTTTTGTCAAATTTGGCTATGCTGCCACTTTTATCAACAACATCAACACATGCAAATTGTATTTTCTGTTTCTAGACTTTCTAACATTAATTCATTGATTTTTTGGCAGGCATCTACCTTAGAAAATAGGCAAATTGGAGGATTTGTTCCTTCACTTTCCAATTCCTTATATTTTTCTGGTATCGAAACCTTAAATGCGCGACTCTTAAGCGTATCAAAAGTTTTATCAGTCAGACAGCCATGCCTATCAGAATCAAGCATCTTAAAGAAAGTTTCGTCTCCTTTTTGTTGCAGATTAATTTTTAGTTCATCTTATTCTGTTTCTTTTTATATGTCAACTGCATTTGCTTCTCAAGTCTAGTTTTTACCAGTTTGTTGCTAATTTTTTTAAACACTGACCTAACATTAACTGGTGGCAATTGTAAAAGGTCACCTACCAATAAAATATTTTTGGATCCAAACCATTTATCAGTTCCAAATATATCTTCTAAGCGCATGTGTAAGTATGCTAGATTTAGATTGGATACCATATATACATAGGCGTAGGCAGGGTGAGGCATGGAGGGGCAATGCCTCACCTGACTCTGTGAGCTCAAATGTTACTTACCAATCAAGCCTCATGCAAGTTGAGGCAGTCAGAGGCACTCCTTTGATTCTTTTTTCTACAGCAGTATAGGCAGAGGAAGTCAACCAGCTTGAAATGATGTCATTGATTGTTGTTATTATGATCTCATAATGATAGTGTTAATTAGTTTTTATAGTCACTAATCAGTTAACCACGTTGAGGCACGTTAAGATGGCAAGCAAAAGACAAGCTTCAGTGCTTTCATTTTTCTCCTCAAACCCAAAACGGCCTACTATGGCAACTGAACCAGGATCATTATCTGAATCTAATAATACTCAAAGAGGTATGGAGATTGTCGATTAATCATGTAAGATATATTTAACACATCACGGATGTCCATTCACCACTGAGCTGGTGGCACATGGCCTTAAATAAACAAAATAATGAATTAATTAACTGATTTCTTATGCATGGTTTTTATAGGTACTGGTGATTATTGCGACAGTTCCACTACTTCTATTTCTTCTCTAAACCTTTCTTCTGCTAACACTGTCTCCCTTTCTCAAGGTTCTGTTGCTTCATTGTCATCATCCACTAGTACTGTATTGCCATGCGATATTGCATAATGTAAGACTGATAAATCAGTTCGTCCTATATTATCGTCCTATCCTTCTCGTATGTTTGGCTCTTCTAAACGGTCTTTTCCTCCCAGCTGGTACAATCATTTTGCATGGTTGGAGTATTCTGTAGAGAAGGATCGTGTATACTGCTTTCCATGTCGCTTTTTTGGAGTAAGCTGTGATCCCTGTTTAACTGTGACAGGATTTTGTAATTGGAAGAGCGGGAAAGGAGAGAAACGTGGCACATTGGATCACCATTCTCATTCGACTACTCACATAAACGCCACACTTTCATGGAATACATTTAAGGCAATACATGACAATGACACTTCTATTGTTAATCAGTTAGAAACAGGAAGAGTCACCATCATGAAAGAAAATCTTCAGTATGTAGCTCA